AACTGCTCGCAGCGGAGTGAGAATTGGATTTGCAGCTATTTCTGAAAAAAATCTTGGTTTTTGAATTTGTTTAAAATTGCACATTTTGCATGCAATATACCCTTAATGAAAGTACTCACTATGGATAAAAAATTTATTTGAGGGAAAATCTCTATCTTCAATTTTGTAGTTGTAAGTAGACACTCCCAAAATTTTGAAATTTTCGAAAATTCTGAAAATCTGATCTATGCCATCTTTATAAGTACATTTTCCTTTTTTTTTTCATGCAAGAAATTTAAACAAAAAATTGTATCTGTTTTTGAGAAAATTTTGAAAATGTCTGGAGTGCTTCATGTAATATATCCCCAAATTTTAAAGAATATTTTTCCAAATCTCAAAGATTCAACTCGAACCAGATCGATATGAGTTTCTTCAGTTCGAAAAAAAAACAAAACCCTACGCATGGTTTAGGCACATGAAGTGTTCAGAGACCGGACCAACCAACAGACATTTTGAATTTCGGCAAAGCAGGTAAACCAGAAGGCAATGAACTTTGGGGAATGCTGTGAATTAAAAGGCAAAATTTAAAAACCTCTGGAAGGTGCCAAATCAAAATAGAAGAAATCGAATTATAAAATAATGTTCCAAAAGATATCGGTGACTGAGGAAAGCGAGCTCTTTTTGTTTAAAAAAAAAAAAAAAATCAATCAAAAGACTAGTTGGAGTATGCGCTGACTTCAGTATTTTGGTAGTTTGTATTCAATGGAAGTAGTGAATAGGTTTTAATTGAAACGCATAGAAAGTGTGGTAATGTGGAAATGGGGAGCCTAGCTGACGGAGTAGTATGGTGAAATGGTGGATGAAGCGAATTCACGGGCTGACAGCAACATAATCATATTCAGGGAAGTGGACACCCCCAGATATTACCCCATGCTTACAGAATATATAATTATGAAAAGGCCAAGCACTGTAATAAATATGGTAACTACCTTGAAATAATGTGGATGGTCATCAAAGTAATAAAGTGCCCAGAATGAATGAGAATTGTGTAAATATTTTTTCTATTAAATGTGAACGTGAAGTTAGATTCATTGTTATTGTGTCAAATGGTATTTCATGTTTTGTATTATTTTTTATTATCAGTCACACAAGAAAGTAGCAATAGCGCAGATGGACCCTGCGGAATAAATAAATGGTACCATTGGTCACGGTGCTGAATAAGATTTGAATGATGTCTATGTATATTTTTATATACATTCCCCTCCCATCACCAAAACAAAGAATATAATGATAAATATTGTTTCCCTATTCTGTACAGGAGGGACTTCAGTCTCACTATCCTAATACAAATACATTTCAGTGCAAATGCTGCTCATTCGTGCTGCAAAGATTAGTATTAAAATTTAGCCAGAGATTTTAAATATCAGGTGAAATAAATAATAATGTAAAAATAATTACAATACAAGAGGCATGATGGGACAATCACACAGAACTTATGAAAACGTGAACAGAATACACTTCTCACCATAGTATGACTTACAGTTATAACATATTTTGATGTTAAATAAATGAAATAAATAATTTAAAAAAATTGTCCCAAAAATTGTGATAAGTACTCATATTTCAAATGGAAATATTATAGTCCGCAATGTATGTTCATATTAACACATCCCAGTCGTTACTTGTAAAACTCTACTAATTTGTTGTTCATAATTTGTTCTTTCATTATGGTCATGTACATTTTGTTGAAGATTTTATTAGTTTTCGTGCAATAATATGCTATTTAAAAAAAGGATACAAAAACAGGATTTTCTCAAAAATGACTCTATTTTTTTCTTTAAACAAAAGGGATAGTGCTAAATGTACTCTATAAGATGACATAAACACCATATTGCTATATTCTTTAGTTTTTTTTCAATAATTACAAAAATGTATTATTTTTTTTTTCTTTCTTTCTTTTTCTTTCTTTCCCTAATGTTAATATTTATATTAGCTGCTATTTGTTCACATAATTGTATTTATGAGTACATGTGCTTTAAAAATTGTCATATAAAGTTTATTGGAAACACTAGCGTTTTCTGTGAAAACTAGCTCAAAGTCCGCATTTTTTAAGCCAAAGCCAAAGTCCGCATCAACATTGAAAGGCCATTTTTCCAAAAAAAGGCTCCAAATTTTTCAGTGGATTTTTTAACAGATAGTGGTAATTGCATTCTTCAATAGGACGTAAAGTTAATTTCGGTGTATTTTTTTGTTTTTTCAAAAATTACACAATTGTACATTTTTTGGAAGCGTGCACTCTCTCTCTCTCTCTCCGTCTCTCTCTCTCTCCGTCTCTCTCTCTCTCTCTGTCTCTCTCTCTCTCTCCGTCTCTCTCTCTCTCCCTCTCTCTACCTCTCTCCGTTTATTTGCACATTTCCAGCAATTGGTAAACACTATTGCATTTGTGAGTTGAAGTTCTTAAAATGACTTCAAATGAAGTTTTTCAAAAACTCTATAAATTGTAGAGCGGAAATGTCAGAAAAATGTACTTTGGGGCAGTGATAGATTACAGCAGGCAAGAATATGTGGCAAGTTCGAATAGCTAACAGAGACCAAATGAAATAGAAAACTAATACGGGAAAGTCTGTGCCATTCTGTGGCACCATTAGTTATTTTCTTTCCTACTGGTTATGCAGTATAGGAATTAGCACAATATCGTAGTGTTTTTTATTCTTTTGAAAACTTTTGGGTATTAGTATAGAAATTACGCATTTTTGGAATTTTTTAGATCTTTAGGAAAGCTTTTGACTTCATTTATCATAGGATCTTGCTCTTAAATTTATCTTCGTATGTAATTTGTTGTATTACCCTTGATTAGAGAGCCTTGTACTTTAAACATTGATTGCAAAGAGTTGAAAGTCCATACCGTCTTGAAAGAACATTATTAATCTTTCTTTTTTTTTTGCCTATTGACCATGGTGTCCCACAGGGTTCGATCTTATCCTCTTTCTTTTATTCACCTTCGTCCATTAAAAATGGAAGAACAGTTCAGTTTGAGTGAGGCTCTAGGAGAAATAAGCCAGCTTAGATCAAAATAGTGTAAGTGCTTTGTAAGCTTCGTTTAGCATTAAGCTTCACCTTGTACTAGCTGGGCGATCGCTTGAGGGACGTAAGCTGGCTTTAAAGAGACCAAAGAAACATGGCGGAGAGGTTATATGTAATTGCATTCGGTGACGACAACCATGTCTTTGAAGATATGATTTCTCCAGTTAGGTGAACTAGATGGATGCAAGAGAGGGCAAGTTTCTTCAAAAACTTGGATGAAATTGATTTTTGGACTCGTTTTCACCTTTCGAAGAGATCGCCATAATTGGTGTTGAAGCAGATTGAAGGAAAACTAGAATTTACTTCTGACAAATATGTAGTGTAGCCTAGTTGTAACTACATAACGGACAGCTGAAAGCTTACACCTTCAATAAACAGTATTTTTCTTGGTATTTCTGTAATAGTAAAAAGATAACATTTGTAACTCAGGTTAAGGTTATGATAGGCTATAATCCATGACAATTCTAGTATTTCAATTTTAAGTACAGTACGAATTTGAACACTATGAAATTCTAGCCATAATCCTGTTAATTTGATGTTAAGTAGTTACTGACTTCCAAAATGGCATGGTGTGTGGTATGCAGGGAGGGGGGGGTGAGAGAGAGATTTATGAAATATGTCCATAAAGATTACAAAAAAAATAACACTTTGCACAGAACTTTGTGAGACTATTTTATTTCATTTACCAATGTTTATTTATTTATGTATGTCGAAATCAGTGTTATTGTTTTTATAGTGTAACACAAAATTAATAACGATTGTAAAATAATTTAATAGAATAAACAATGAACAAAACTGACAAATTCACTCCCTATCAGCACTCATAAGTACCATAAGATGGTGGTTCACAAAATAGTACAAACAACTTCAAAACACAGAGATAACTGTGTCAAAGAACTGAGCAGAACGTTGATGTGTTTATTTTGTGGTGTTGCCAATATCAGCGGAAGACGCATGAAACCCGTTTAGCTAAGCTAGGCTGCTAGATCACTGCCAGAGAACTGTTGAAACGCGTTTACCGTAAGCTCTCTTAAATTTTGTGCTAACTTGGCAAAGCAACGCTCTATGAAATATTGGTAAAACTTGCCCTAAATTACCTTAAGAAAAATAAATTTCTATTATCAAACTCCGCACTGAGTGTTTGCTCAGTTAAGACCACACTGCACTGCACGACATCTCACTTAACAATATAACACTTATTCTTCGCTCTATAACATACAAATCTTAGTTAAGTCTCTCGTTTATTTAATAATACATTAAATTAATTTCCTAAACTGTTGAATGCTTTGAGGAAAGGGTTCAGAGGTTTATGCATTCCATTCTCTGCAGTCTTACATTTATTTTGTGTCTGTGATCCTCGGTACTGATGTATGTAGGAATTCTTTTCCACTAATTAATTTCTTTCCAAGCTGGATGACCACTGTAAGCTCCATTTTCTTGTTCCTGAAAGTATATGCTGAATCGTTTCCACATTTTTACACTGCATAATTTTGTGCTGACCCCACCAAATTGTTCCATATTCCAGTATTTTGATCAAGTTACTTAAGAAACATTAGCCCTTGGTTGAAATTACTTCTGCTTCACAAATATCTACTCTTCTTTGATATTAAGTATGCAGTTTCTAAGAAGCAGGGGCGTGTAAGTTTCACAATTCATGAACAAGGTTTATTAGTCTTAGAAACACAGCAGCATTGCATTGCTTGTAGGAGAGATTTCAGTGACATATATTGTGAACTCACATCTCAGACTTTGTTAGGAAAATTGAACTGAAAATTATAGAAGAATGTTAGTTTAAAGTAATTAATGATAAAAAATAATAAAATTATAATTCAATTTACTAAGTTGTCGTTTGATTAAAAGCACCTCTGTAATGCAATAAATCTGCATATCTTTATCCCAAATTTTATTTAATTAATGTGCTATTTCTTTTTTTGCAGATGTATTTATGAAAGAATATGATGTGAATCGCAGTACTCGGCAAGAGAAAAATTTTGTTACCAGTCTTACAGATAGTAAAGAATCATTGAAAGATGATGAAAAACATATGTTGGATGCAGTATTGAATGAACGATGTGATAATTCAGAAGACTTACCTCGGACTGCAGGTGAAATACACCAAAGAGAATTTGTTCAGTGTTTTCCCAAAAATACTGCCTCAAAAAGACCTAATGAAGAGACTTTTATAGTCAAGAACCAGAATGAAATTCTATGTTCCTCAGACATGGAACTATTGTTTGAGGCTCCAGAAAATTCTGTTATAGAACTTGTCAAGAACAGTGGAAGAACGGAAATGTCAATGAATGTTGAGGACAATTTATCTAGAGAGTAAGTGTAAGAATAGGGAGAAGTAAACAATATGTCCCATTTTTCTATGATCGTATAAAAATTGAGTGCTTTTACGAACCTTTGTAGAGTCATTCCACGTCAACTTGCCACTCACGAAACATAAGTATTTTTTATAGACTTCAAACGTTTTTTTTGACTGTTTTATGATGGTGGCTCATATTTTTTTTTCTTTTTTCTATGATCTCACTCCTTTCAGAAATATTACCAATTATTTTTTCGGTAAAATCCTGCAGGCGCTAATGTGTCAACCTATCTTGTGCATCCACATTTTCTTCAGAAAAAATCAATTACATGTAAATCAAACCCAAAATAGATATACTTTCATGTGGTGTAAATATAAATTTTGTAAACTTTATTTAAGTATTTAAAATAGATTTTATTTTTTAAAATACACATTTTCACAATACACAGACACTTAAATTAAAAAAATATTTGTGTATTTCTACTAATGTATATATTTGCCAAATTTAGAAGTGGTTCGCAAAGAAATAACATTTTAAAAAAAAATTGTTGATGGGACCATGGGGCATCAATGACAATCATTCAAACTCGTTAATGCCACAATCATATTGAATAGTGAGATTTAGAAAATTATTCTTTCGTACTTGAAGATGTAATTTAGAGACTGCTTATGAATAAGCTACCCTGCATCTTTTTCTGTTACTCATCAGAGAAAACATAGAATTAAAAATAGTACAATAAATTCCTATTTCAGTTGTACGAAACACAAAACAAATCCAATTTACCTTTTTGAGCTTAAACTCAAGCCCCGTAACGAATGTGCCACAGGCCATGGAGAATCTTCCCTTCCACTTCCATCACTCACAGACACATGCACGCACATGCTCCGCTTACTCATTGCACATTCAGGAGGCTAGAGCTGATCTGACTTACTTGGGGCAGTGCCTCACTGGTGGAGATATCTGAAGGAGGGAAACCTCGCAGCTTGATGTGTAGGTCGGCACAGGATCTCATGCTGTAGCAGGGGAGGTAAACCGCCACCTCCTGGGTTATAGTATGCACAATTCTTTCAGAACATATTTTCATAGCAGTTGACACACTTGACAATATCAGTCAATCAATCAAAGCTTTCCAAAGGCTGACCAGATCAGTGGAATGGTACAATTGAATTTGAATAATCTTAACATTGTTTGTTTTATGATAGCCATCTTTCCGGAAATAGTTCTTTCTTGCAAATATTTTATGTTTGCAATCAAAATCCCTTTGACTCAAAAAATTGAATCATTGCATAAAAAAAGGAAGAAAGTTAATCCACCGATGCTCGGAGAAATTAATAGAAATGTAGTACTAATTCATTTATTTAAACATAAGCGACTTCCTTTTTTTTAACAATCTGCAATTCATTTAGCGGTGCATCAAATATGCTAGTGGGAAACTACAGAAGTAAATTGAGTAGCGCTTATGCAATGAGCTAAAATGTGATAGGCATTCTTTTGAATGCTTTGATCAAACCTTATAGCACATGTATTTCTACGTGTTCATAGGTTATTTTGGACACTTATATTCATATAAGGAAAGTGATGTTTAAGTACTGTCGTTTTCATACACTCAAATGTTCACAAGAATTAAATAAATGTATATTAGAAATGAATGGGTGAGTAATTTCACTTTGTGTATCTTCACCCTTCATGACATTTGTACAATATACAATGGATGTTGGCCATTGCACACTTGCCTGCTAATTTAAGTAACTTAACACAGCATGCATCTTGTTACTAAAATAGACAGTTTGGTTTTTCTGTTTGAAATGTTCTTTTGAAATGTTAATTGGTTGAAAAATTTTGAGAGCAAGAAAGTTCAGTGAAAAAACATTTTTGTCCTATTCATGCATCTTCATATCTACTTTTAATGCAAGAGACAATTTGAACTTCAGCTGTTAAATTTTGTTTTTCAAGGTCAGTGTCGGGATGTTTGCTTTAACCAGAGGTTGCAGAGTTTTAAATAACTATGGACAAATTTTATTCTACCAACCCCTATAAATTCTTATATCTGGCGTAAAAAAGTGAAGTTTCATGAGTAGGTTAGGCTAACATAATATAACAATATATTTTCTTGCAATATTTTCACTAGATGTTCTAATAACCCTTTCACTTTTTCTGTCAGTTAATTCTTTAATTTTACAATTTTTGCAATACATGGATGAATTCTATTTTGCAGGATTGAGTCACTTACAGAAGAACATATTGCAACAGCTCATCAAGAAAATAATAATGACTTCAGAATATCAGAGATATCAAGTTTTGAATGTCCTGATTGTGGTGAAGTTCTGAAAAGTTTTAATAGCTTTATTACACATATGAACTCCCATATAATTCAACAACGTGAGAATATTGATACTGTTCAATGTGAAAATTGCATTGAGAAATTCGATGACAACAGATCACTCTCGCTCCACAAAAAAGAATGCAATTGCGAAAAAGAAAGTAACCTTGTGCCATTTCAAAAGAATCATCATCAAATTTATAATGATAATAGTAATGGTAATATTAATAATGAGATGTGTTCTTCAGTAAATTGCTTTGAAACAGATTCTTCTCTTTCTAACAAACAATTTACCTCAAGAGACAATCCAGAATTAGCTTTTTCTAGTCATTGCCAGGAAGTGTCCCTGAAGAAGTTTCCAGAACAATCAAGACATTACAATGATTTGTCGTCTTGTAGTCCAAAACAAAGACAGCAAGCGTACTCGGAGGAGTGTTCATCTTCAGAGACGCTAAAAAGTACAAGTAATTGGACTATGCAAAATTTAGGTGCTGCAGATGATGCATTTGATGTTTCTTGGTCATCTGAAATAAAGTGTAGAGATAAAAGGGAAGGGAGAAATTTAGGATCAGTTAGTACTTTATCATTACGTTTATTTCGATTTCGCAGGCCAAGAGTTGTAGTGAAACGTGCAAATGTTCCAGTTCGAAGTCAAAGTGTCATTAAAACATTAAATTCACGTTTGGGAGATTCTGTTTCAAATAACATGATAAATACAAAGAGTGTTTGTCAGGTTGAAAACCCTGGAAATTTGAAACAGTTGAGCACAGAATCAGAAACAAATAGAGTTAACAAAATTCCCAAGCCTGATTCAAAAGTCGTGAGTTGTTCGAATATTGTTCAACTCTGTGGGAAACCCAAGCATTCAGAAAAAGAATGGCATTGTGCAAGACAACAGAAGTCAACTGATGCTGATAGATGTTATTCACAGGCAAATTTAACATCTAGTCACAGTGAACCTCAAAATGTAGAATCTCTGATTTGTGACACACCATTTTCCTTCTCAGCCAAAGTGTCTCAAACAAATAAAAAATCAGATGAACATGTAAATGTAAGTAGTAAATTTCCAACTGAGGATACAAAAGTTCGATCAAATCTTAAAATAAAAATAAAGCCTGTTGTTGTGTTAGATCGTTTACGTTCATTAAATTTTAATTTAAACCAGTCTTCTCAAGAAAACCCAAGTAAAAGTGTGCAGGGTGTTAGTGTGCAAAAGAATATTTCTAAAGGGATGAATATCTCTATTGGGTCAAGTGTTTTTGAGAAATGTGAAGCCCCAAGTGTTGAAACAAATTCTAAGAAATTAGAAACTACAATAGGTGATCAGTCTGCTAGACATGATCCTTGCCATAATGCAATTAACCATTGTGAAAATTCTCTAGCTCATTTAGAGAAAAGGTATGGAATAAAAAAGTGCTATGTGAAACTGAAACGAATTTCGGTAGAACCTTGTGATTTAAGAAAAATTGTGAAACGTAATAGAAATGAGACAGGACGTGAAATGAAAACTTGTGGAAAAATAAAACTTCGTCGTATGAGTTCCAAAATGTGGACTGTGAGTTCATGTACTTCAGCATTAGAAAACACAGAAGTTGCAGAGTACACGGAAGACGGAATGAAATCTTCAAATTGGCTTTGTGTAGCAGAAGATACTGAACTTAGTAGTGATCAAGAAGTGCATAATGAAATTTATGGTCAAAGATCAAAAAAGTGTGTTGGTTCAAAAGACCCCTCCATCTGTTCAAGTGAATCAGCTGAAGAAACTCTGAACTATATCCGAAGAGGAAAACATATGAAGCATTACAGATCTGAATGCACTTGTTGCCAGAAAATATTTTTTGACGAAAAGGATCTAGCACAACATTTAGAAACACATTTATCGGGGTATAAGTGTCCTAATTGTTCTGCCAGATTCCATTTTGTAATGGAATTACATGCACATGAAGCTGGATGTTCTCTTGCAAGCTTACTAGATTGCCATAAGGCCAAGTCCCGTATAAAGCCCTGCCAAGTGATTTTGTGAGGAACTCACCACAAGAATTAATTACTAGTATTTTCGTATAAACTTTATCATAATTGCTTTTCACGTGATTTTTCAACTTTTTGCAATAATGAATAATATAAATCATTTTATATTTTTACCTGAGGTTACACATTAAGAGAAGGTAGTTGCAACCTTGTAACTGGCGTAACATTCATTGAGTGTATGTTTTGAATATATACTTGTAAATGATTTACTTAATGACTTATGTGTGAATTAATACCTGAATATTTTATCGAAGAAATTTAAGAAGGTGATATATTTTTCACAAAGTGAATTTTCTCCTTTTTTAATACCAAAGATTAGGTATTCTCATAAGCTTGTGCAAAACTGTAATATTCCTTGTTTATTTTTCAAAGTTTCAGTGTATATGTATTTAGATGCCATACATGACATTCAGTATTACAAAGACTGAAGTATTATATACAAATCATTTATAAGATATGTGTTCATTGGGATGATGTTACTTACATTATACCATATAAAAATTGTAGTTTATCATAAATTATGTTTATATTGTTGTGTATATTCAGTTAATACAGTCACAAGTGTAATTAATTCTCTTATTATCATTTGACCTCTTTCTGTCTATAACGTTCCAAAACATCAGTGATTCCATACCCAAATTTATAGGTCCTTGTTTCCAAGATAAAATTGGCACCCCTCTCAATCTCCCCTGCCCCTGAAACGGTACAAGCACCCCCTAACGCCGCCTTCCTCAAAGGTTTCAGTTGCAAAGATTGCTGCAGGAAATATTGTCCATTTAATTTAAAATCACAAGTCTGAAAATCTAATTTTATAATTAAATTTATCAAATATTAACAGATTGGAACCTCATTGTATTCCTTTAATGATTTCTCCATCAATAGTGAGAAAAATGTAGTTCCATTTAAAAAATCAATGATTAAATTTTTCAAAAACTAAATGTATTCCCAAATTACTTACCTCATGATTCTGCATTATTGATTGAAAACTGCATTTCGACATCGTAAACCTTTTAGAAGTTAAGAGTATATAGTTGGTTGGGCACTATTTGCAATAAGTAGTAAGAAAGGCTGACTGGAGTTGAAAGAATTCCAAACTCTTAGTATAATGAACTTAATTTTCTGTTTAGATGGAAGTGTAGAGACTGGCCTGTCCCCTTTATGCAATATCAGTTTTCTAAATAAGCTTAATGACATTAATGGCTATTTATGGATTGCTTGGAATTGCTTGTGTTAAGGCTGGCAATCTAAACCATGAAGGTTGAGGGTGATATCCACATTGACATGTTGACATTAGAGAAGCGTATCTTTAGTGCTAGAACGCGTGCCCATTTACGCTGGGCGTCATCTAAGGAATGATGGTGCTCAGGGGCGTAGCAATCGGTAAACTGCACAGGGACCCCTAATAAGGTCTCGTCTACCCTCATTGAAGGGTTCCAGTTGAAAAATTCTGAAACTAGTTGATACTGAAAAATATTGCAAATAATACATTGAAAATTAAAGATTATTCCCTATTAACGCAATTGCGTCTGCGAATTATTTCGAAAACAATAAAAGATATAGAGATAGTGGTTACGTGAGGAGGAATTTACAGCACTTACACCGTGTATTTAATGTTTTCGCTCTTGATAGTCAATTAACACAGTCCCGCAGCTTCGTACTTTTTCCCCATACTGAAAATAACTACTGATAGATGCGGCATTACGTGTGCCCCAAGTGGTGAGAAAGGTGGCAACGCCCTAATAGTATTAAAACTAGGAAGCTGGTGAAACCTAGTGCAAAAAAGTGGCTTAATTACATTACATTCAAAACCTAATCCATATATTGTTCAACTCGTAATATTTACATTTATTAATGATAGCTAAAATATATGAAAGTGTGGAAAGAAGTTTCATGTAATTTCTCCCAAGGTCGACACGGCGAGATTTGATACTTCGTTATTGCAAGATTCTTGTACGTTTCGTGGGTTTAACATTTACTAAAATTTGGAAATTATATTAAGATTTGGGCTTTGTGCGTATGGAATAGCTATTAACACATCTAGAAATGTAATGAGTGTTATTAATGCCGATGCCAAAAGTTAAAAATCGAGGCGGAGAGTAGCGGAGCCGAGATTTTTAATTTGGACGAGGCAGTAATAACAATAACATTTCGTGATATGTTCAGCGTTTTATCGGTCACCATAATATCTCAATTTTGTTTTGAGAAAATTTACGTTACTACTATAGGAAACACCATCTGTTGTTGCGGCACGATAATCGATATTGTTGGATATTGCTTGCGATATATCTATTTTAACAATAAACTTGAATACCGTGGCTCGAGAAGGATGGACGCTGAAAATTCGTCTGTACCTCAAGAATTTACCAAATATTTATTTTTCAAACTGCGCAATTAATAGCGTTATAATTAATAATGAACGTCCCCCCAAATAATGCGTTTCTTTGATTACTATTTGTCTTGTAAATTACCAAGTGATTTTTTCGTAATAATGTTGGCTTGCGATGAATGGATGGTTGTTTATGTAGGTTACCAAGGATGTTGCAAAGGATTTTAAATTTCTTAACCTACACGTAGGTACAAGTGCACTTAACAAACTTATAGGGTTGCATGTTAACAAAGGTTACAGACGCATGTGACCGATAATGACGTTGTACAAAAAACTAGTGGTGTCAAAACATCTCGCCTTTCGCGCTTTTAGTAGCTACTTTCTCGCCTTTAGCAATAGTTATGTAATACTATTTATACCACAGTTTCCGAATTAACACATCTCAATCATTTTTTTTGTAAAACTCATTACAAATCGTAGAACGTTTGGTGCAAAAACTAAATATTTTCAAGCATATCAGCACATTTGACAACTATAACTGAATTTCAGAAATCAGTACCAACAATAAGACGTAATTCGCAGAAAGTAGCTTCCTAATCTGATTGCATTCTAATCTGATATTCCCTGCAGGCTAGCAATTTTTATTTCAAATAGGTTTTAAATCATTTTTAAGCGATTAATTTGTAAAACCGTTACAAAAGCTAGAACGTAAATTCAGAGCGGGCGATAATGTTTGTCGCCAAATTACATAAAAAATACTCATATTTTCAAACAATTCAACATGACTTACATTGCATTTTTTTAAAGAACACATTTCATGAAGGAAACATGGATATTCATGCTTATAGTTGTAAGAACAGGCCGATTTTATTTTTTTTTTATTTTCGAAAAATCAGACATTTTAACGAACATGAGACCTGCAAAATTCTATTACGTGTCCCTTACGCTAAGGTCTAAATTCAATAAAAAAAATTGTGCCTTCTTAAGAAAAAAATGGGTCAAAATAAATATTGCCTCTTTCACACAAAATTTCGCAAAAAATACTCATGTTTTTGAGAAATTCAACACATTTTTAGTGTTTTTCATAAAAACATCTCATTAAGAAAAACTGTTTATCTTCATAATAGTAGGAAGACGCCGAAAACATTTTGATTTTTTCAATTTTCGAAAGATCAGGGTTTTCAACCAACATGAGATCTGCACCATTCTCTTAAACGCCCTTCCCTCGTCTAACATCAAAATTGAATCAGAAACAATGGGAGCCGTTTTGAGAAAAAACATTTGAACCAAATTTTTAAAATGCCTATATTTCACGAAAAATTACGAGAAAAATACTCAACGATTTCGAAAAATTGTACATGACCTTATTTCAAAATCTTTCTTTAAGGAATACATTTCATTAAGGAAAAAACGTATATCTTTGTTGTTAGTTGTAGGAAGACACAGAAAAAATTTTGAATTTTTACAATTTTCGAAATATCAGGGTTTGTAACCAACACGAGACCTGCACCATTCTGTTAAACGTCCTTCACACTACCCAACAACAAAATTTAATCAAAAACGACGGAGCCCTTTTTTTTATGTCCTAGGGGATTTGTGTTTAGTATCTCCTGGAATTAAAATACCGATTTTAAATTAAAGGGACCGCAATCGATCGGGAAATATCATTTTTTGAGAAAATCTGCAGTCAATGTTTCAGCAATTCTCCGCTAGTTTCTTTGAGAGATGAAATGCCGTTCTTGGACGAACACTAAAGGACAAAAACTGTAGTGAAGTTATTACTTTCTCGCCTTACGAATTCTTTGTAAGAAGAAAAGTTATGTAAACGTGTGACAGAAAAAAGCGAATTTTAAGTAGAAAAATTAATAGGCGGGCAGTAATAACGAAAAAGTGAATAAATCCTGTTGCTAAATTTCGAAAAGAACTAGTGGTGCTAAAACAATAGCTCCATTAAAAATAACTCCAAAGTTTTTTATTAAATTTTGTGATTTGATAGCATGAAGAAAATTTATGCGAATGGTGTAGGTCTGTATATATATATATATATATATATATATATATATATATGACGTATGAGGGAGAAGATTATGTGCGCACGTTTTCGTGAGTTCCTGAATCTATTCCGATCATTTTAGCTATAAATAGTTGAAAATGATGAGTTAAGGTTAAAGCTAAATAAAAAAATAAAAATAAAATTTAAAAAAGCGCGAGATTAGTAACTCTTGAAAAACTAGACATTTTCATTCCCAAGTTATAGAAAATTTACTTGCAACGGTAAACGAACTGCAGATTTTATTTTTTGCATTGCTAACAAAATAGTAACTCGCCCTTACCTCTGCTCCTACCACTACAAGTAAAAGGAGAGTTCAACAAAACGTGCTCATAGTGGAGCTACATTTATGTCCACAAGCAAAATAAGGGACTATCTCAGGATTTGCTCAATATATCAGGGAAACTGGTCAAGAGCCTGATCGAAATGGGGGCCATTGGCCCGAAAGCTGAAGCATATTATTTGTTACAAGCACGTTAAGTCTTTAAGAAAAGTATACAATACAAATTTTAACTAATTAATTATATATTACTGTTTTGTTAAAATAAACCTTATTTTTCTTTTTGATGATCAGTGTAGTCTCTAATTGTATAAAAACAGTAATTTTTAAATAATATCTAAATGATTAATGTGTAAATGTATAACAAAAGGTGTAATGTAAGAAACGAATATATAAATATTATATAATATACAAATTCTGACTTACGAAGCATCCCCCCGTAGGAAATCGTTCATGAAGCACAATAAAATCGCAGCGGGCATTTAATTTGGTCGCCAATTTACACAAATAATAGTCATATTTTCTTTTTTTGATAAACACATTTCATTAAGAAAAAAGTATTTTCACAATTGTACTTATAAAAAAACTCAGCAAACGAAGTACAGAATTAGAAAGAACTATTGTATTTGTTGCAAAATTACATAAAATACTAATATTTTCCAAAAATTCAACATGACCGTATTTGAATATCTGTTTTTTATGAACACATTTCATAAGAAAAAATGTAACTTCAATTTGTTAATTTGTAAGAAAATCCCGATTTTTTTTAAGTTTTCGCAATTTCATGAACATTAAACCTGCACCATTCTCTTAAGCGTCCTCGATGCCAAGTTCCCAATTTAATAACACACGTGCGGTTTTTAAGAAAGAAATTTTTAAAGAAAATAATTGGTGCTACAGAAT